AGACATTAATGATACTGGTCAATAATTTCACATTCTGTTGTATCACCTTTTTTGGGAATGAAAAAAAAAATGTGCATCTCTTTTTGTCAATCAGCCAAGAAGCTGTCCCCAAATGGCCTGGCATAAACTAGAGAGCATGTCCACTGCATCTGTTAGTTGAAACATGTCAATTGACAACCCCTAAATTCTTGGAGCCTTACTGTTTGCCAATGCCTTCCATGCAGATTGAATTTATACCTTCATTACTATTGGCTTTTCTTCATGTGGTACTTCCTGAATTTTTTCCCATGTCTACATGTTATTATTGATAAAATTACTTTGTGTATTCCTTCTATCTTCTTCTCTTGCTTCTTGGATCAGTCAAGCTTTTGTTCAAAGCATCTCTCTGTATTGTATCTGGAGACTTGAATTAGTGTTTCAGTTCTTTCAACTTGAGAAATGCTGAGCGAGTTCTCTTTTAATTCTCCAGCTCCAGTTTTCTGCACATTCTTTTATAATACTTTCCTTTGTCTTCTTGCGCAGCTCTTTGAAATATTCTGTTAGTCTCTTCTCCATCTATTTCTTCTTCTTATTTTGGCTACTCAGTGCAATAGTGCAATTTTCAGGGTACCTTCTGTCATCTATTTTGATCTTTTCTTCCTCTTTTAGCTTTTTTCATGGATGATAGCTTTCATGTCATTCTATGACTCATCTGATCTTTCATGTAGTCAAATCTATTCTGGAAATAATGTTGTTGTTGGGTGCCAGTGAGTCGAGTATGACACATAATGACCCTATGAACAAAAGATCTGAACCTAGTCGTGCCCTGCTCCATCCTCACACTACCTGACACACAAGAACCCATTGCAGCAATCACCTTGTCAATCCACATGGTTTAGGGTATTTCTTGCCTTCACTCACCCTCCACACTTTCTAACATCATGTCCCTCTCCAAGGAAAAGCACCTCCTAGCAATATATCCAAAGTATGTGAGGTAAAGCCTCATCATTCTTGCCTCAAAAGAACACTCTGGCTGCATCCTCTCCAAGAAATATCTGTACATTTTCTTGGCTGCCTATAGGATGTTCAGTGCTCTTCACCAACACCACAGCTCAAAGGCATCAATTCTCTCTCTGTCATCCTTATTCATTGCCCGGGTCTCAGATGCATAGCTAGTAATTGGAAAGACCATGGTTTCAATTAGACGCACCTTAGTCCTCAAGGCGACATCTCTATTACTCAATAATTTGGAAAGGTTCCTAACAGCAGGTTTTCACAGTGCAATGTTTCTGCTTATTTCCTGACTGCTGGTACCAATGGGGTTAATTGTCGATTCAAGTAAGATAAAGATGTTGACAGTTTCAATCTCCTTTCCATGACACAGCCTATTGGTCCAGTGGTAAGAATCTTTGTTTTCTTGATATTGAGACACAATCCATACTGAAGGGTGCATCCCTTGATCTTCTCAACAAGTGCTTCAAATTCTCCTCACTTTCAGCAAGTAAGGTTGTGTCATCTGCATAATGCAGGTTATTGGTAAGTCTCCCTCCAATCCTAATGCCATGTTCTTCTTCATATAGTCCAGCTACTTGCATAATTTGCTCAGCATATAGATTGAACAGGTATGGAGATAAAATACATCCCTGACACACACCTTTTCCAATTCCAAACCATGCAGTGCTCCCCTACTCCATTTACACAACAGCTCCATGCTCCAGATATAGTTTCCTCATGAGCACAGTCAAGGGCTCTGTGATTCCCATTCTCTTCTATGTCAGTTTGCTGT